TAAGGGGTTTTTTTATTATTATTTTGTGTGTGTATACCATCAAATCAGATCTGACTGGTACAGGAGGAGATTGTTCCTCCTTCTCCAGCAAAGCATCAAGAATAATATATATTTTAAGACAAAAGAAATGGAAAAAAATCTGAGCACAGTTCTCAAACTCACCAGCATTTAAATGGGCATACACACAAAAAAAAATTTGCCCATAATTAGTACAAAACATTTTTTTTAAATATGTCTAGTTCTATTAAATATTTGGTCTCAGTCTAGGGAAAATAAGTCCTTTTTTCCTCATTTTTCTCACTACCCAAGAGCAGGAATCCACTCACAGCTGACTCTCCACTGGGTTCCAAGGTTGTAAATCACACAAGAGGATACTGCCCATCTTTCTCCCTTGGAACCACTCGTGCATTCAATCTCAGATCTGAAGAACTCTGCCTTTGGGTTACAGCACAACTTTGTAGGGACTAGATTACCAGAGCTTCCTTTTTTATTATTACTATTTTTGTGTGTGTGTACCCGTCAAACTGGATCTGACTGGGCCAAGAGGAGATTGTCCCTCCTTCTCCAGCAGAGCATTTGATGGATTCGAACTGCGCACCTCTGGTATAGCAGTGCAGTTTCTTACCACTAGGCCGAGCTTCCTTAATTCTTAAGCTTTTCTTTTAAGCAACTTATAAAAATACAGGGGACATAATGGAAAATAAAGCATGATCTTGTAGATCTAGAACAGGAAAAAAATTTGCTAGATGGTAAATTATAATTAAACTATAAACAATATTTGGTGAAATAAAATTAATTTCAATATGCTAGTTAGCATAATTAACCTAAAAAAATCTAATTTATTTAGATGTTATTGCTTCAAGTTTCCTCTTTTGTCCCAATAAAAAGAAATGGAAAAAGAGAAATCTTAAGAGTTAGGCTTAATTTTAGGATGCCCATAACTTTTTCTAGAATAACTGGCACAGCTAACAGATCTGTCATCATGCTATTAATAATAAGTAAATTTAGCAGGCAAAGAATCACACATACACTCAAAACTACATTTAAAAAAATCTTATTGGCCTGAGATGGAAAAGGAAATGTGCAATCCTGTATCAAAATCCTGATTTCTGTCATTCATGTTCCTTTAGTTCTACTGAGAGTAGGTCTGTCTCCCCCTTCTGGAAAAGAGTATCATATACAGCTTCAAGAATGTGCTGAAGATCAAACAAGATTAAAGTAACATTAAGAGGAAAAATGCTAGCTTTTCTATTCATCAGTCACACAAAGTAACACTGACTCCAGATTTTTTTAAAAGCTGCCTAGAAATTTTATCATCTGACATACAAAATCAGTTTTTATTTTTAGAAAGTGATAAGCAAAATATTTTTTGTACTTCTACTATCTTACTGCAAAAAGTTATTTGCATGTACAGCTATTTTTTAAAAATTTTGTAAGCATAGTAAAAAAAAATATTAAACTGGGGAAATGCACATGTCAACTCTCTCATCACAATCTACATAAAACAGACATATCTGAAAATTTTAAAATTCATTATCTGATGTAAGAATTTAAACACCTGCTGTTAATCTGATCTCCTTTTACAGCCACTAGAGGAAAGAGACTCATCATAAAGTACTCTATTCTACTATGCAAGAATTGCTAAGTGTTCTTACCTTGTACGGATCAAGTAAAAAGTCACTAAACTTGCTAGGCAGGGAATACTTCTTGACTAATTCGTCTTCTACCACCCAGGGTGCGTTTTCGCCAGTCCCAGCACGTAATGCATTATGCCGTATGAAATACCGCAGGATTTCCTTGTTTGGTGGACGCTCTGTGCGAATCAAACTGTCTGCGGGGACGTTGCTGATGATCTACATTTAACAATAGAAAGAATTTATCATTATAGTAAAAGAGCAAATCATAAGTACAAATATGAATGTCCTCTCCAGAAAGATTATAATACCAAGTATAAAAAAAGAAAAAGTAAAATTATGTTCAGACAATTTAATGCATCAGGATGGGCCATTTACCAGATGTTAAGCAAGTAGTTATCAAAATGTACACCAAAGTTCTAAACACACTTCAACCAGCAATTTCCTTTGTAAATGAAAAATCATCATTAATGGATTATGAGGGGAAATGTAGTATTACCTAATGATACTAGATGTACCTTTATTTTTTTTTTGTTTCTTTTAAACTAATTTTCTTTTTTAGTTTAGTTTAGTGTGTGTACTGTCGAATCAGAACCAACTGGCACAGAAAGAGATTGCCCCTCCTTCTCCAGTGGAGCATCTAGTGGATTCACACCGGCCGCCTTCGGGATTACAGCACAGCTTTTTACCACTAGGCCACCAGAGCGCACTCCTTTATTAGTTTTTAAAATTAAAATACATCCATAACAAGATGCTATGTAGTCTTTTTAAAAAAGTTTCTCAATCAGTCCATATTCCTCAAAATGTGATACTGTTAAAAACACAGATTCTTAGGTTTCACCTCAGATTTACTGAAGAATCTGAGTCTATTAATCTTTTTTATTAGTTTAAGACCTTCAAACATTTGAGAAGAGAGAGGGGAGAGAGAGAAGGAAAGAGAGAGTGTGTGTGGACATGTTAAACATACAACAAAATGAGTTTTCTGGAACCAAACTCGCATTTAAAAAAAAAAAAAATCATGACCAGGACTCCAGAAATATCTAAAGTACTCAGTCCCAGTCTCAAATTCTCCAAAGGTAAGAACTATCCTGGCTTCTATCAACATTAATTCATTTTGCATGGATAGGTAGGAAGGTAAAGGAAGTAAACATGAACAGGTAAGCTGGGTAAAAGGTAAACAGTATGCAAAAAAGGTTGATAAGACATTAATAAAATTCACTGTATTAATAAATTGTAATTAATGTTATAATGGATTAGACATCATAATTATATTTATTATAATTAATGATATAAAACAAAATGTGTTCAAATGATTGAATAAAATATCTGTGAAAACTACATATAGTTGCCCATATCTAGGTTTGACAGGTATTTCATCCATTCCTATCTCTTAATTTTCCTTGTCTGCCTATATCTGCCACGGACTGCAATATAAAGAATCTTCATAAACCAGCCACGTTTTCAGACCAGACTATAAATCACACAGAATGGAATAAGGTTTGCCAACAATCTAATGGTGCTTCGAAGAGGTTCCAATATCTCAAAATCTAAATAATCTAGATTATAACCCCTCCCAATCTCATTTACTAAATTAGGAATTAAGGTTGTTTTTAAACTTCTCAAGCCATCACTATTTAATATATAATCTATATATGAAGATAAATGTGCAGCTGCCTTCAATAACAAACTCCAGTCTGTCCCTTCCTTATAAAAATTAGAATTCTATGTGGATATATGACTAGCTAAAAATAATATGCTATATTTCTTGGATGCCATGATGTCATCAAAGATATATTCTTTTATGTGCTACTAAGAAAAATACCCTTGTCCATTGATTTTAAGATATATTACAGTGAAGCAAACAAAAGAATGAAAACGAAGCCCATTCACCAGTGTTCATCACTGTATTTTCACACTAGCCAAAGATGGAGAAAATGGAAATGTGCACCACTCATTGCATCTAGACAGTTTCATGCCATAGCTGGCCCTCCGCTGGGCTTCCGAGGGTGTAAACTGCACTGGAGGAGGCTGCCCGTATCTTTCTCACAGGATTCAAACTGTGAGAAGTGCAGCCTGTAGGTTAACAGCATGCAGATCTCCAAGGGCTGATGAGATGATCAAAATGGTGCATACATACATGGTGAAATGCGTAAGGCATCTAAGGATGTCAATCTTTGTGGAAACTGACTGTCATACCTTTCCCAGCACAGCAACTGGTGGGTATGAACTGTCCACATTTCAGGTGGCAACCAAGAGTTTAAGCAATAAGCCACCAGAGAGATGAGGCCATAAAGAGAAAGGAAATCCTGACGCATACAATTACATGAACCTTGAAATGTGCTACACAAAATGATTCAGTCATCAAGGGACTAGTATCATATCATCTCACTGTTAAGAAATAAGCAAATATATAGAAACCAAAGATTATTAGTGGTTAAAAAAGATGAGAGGGAGACACTGAGTTTGTGTTAATGATCGTGAAACGCTGTGAACAAGGATACTGAGAATACAGCAGAACTTAATGAATCTAATCAATGTTATCAAATCCTATAGAATAGTGGTTTGCTGTGTAAACTTTCACAATTAAAGTTTTTAAAACTGAAAAAGTAATCACAAAAAAAGACTCTGATGTGGAACATACATGCGTGCACACGTGAACACACATACACACACTTCTCTTCCTGTTGTCGAGCCTGTTCTAACTCTCGTGACCACCCCTATCCAGTTTCCAAGGCTATTATAACGGGGAAAGACTGGCCATCTTTCTTGAGGAGCTGCAGGTGAACACACGCACTCCCCCTCCAATTTCAGAGATGTGAAAAAAAAATAATCTTGGAATCAATAAAATATAGTCCTATAAAATATAGTTCCTTTAAAAAGGTATCTATTTATTACAGGTTGTTATTGCCAAAGATTCCTGGTAAAAACACTGATTTGAATGACGCAATTTTTTTTTGTGACCTCCGCCGTTTACCCGTGCTTCATTGAATTTCTTCACTTTGACATTCAGAGCACTGGGCAGAAATCACATCACGCCAAGACCCGTGGCGGGCCTTCACAATGAAGGTCTCAATTTTTAAGTTTCATTTTATTACAAATGGTTCTACTTAAAATTGAAAGAGGCATTTTCTCCAAAGTCTTTAACTACTGAGAAGAGAGTCATATTTTTCAAATAAAGTTTTAAATGCAAATATTTCCCTTACCATCAAAACTATTCTGATTCATAATAACCCAATATGACAGAGCAAAACTAATCCATAGGATTTCTAGGACATAATTTTTAAAAGCTCGAGTTACGTGCTGATCTTCTATAATCTAAGGATAACAGTTCAAACCCACCATCCGTCTCACTGGAGAAAAATGAAGTCATCTGCTCCCTGTTAAGATTTATAGCTTGGAACTGACATAAACGGAAACTGATCCAATGGCGGTGGCTTTCAGTTTTGCTGGTTTACTCTTTTTTTAAATTTTTTAAATTTTTATTGTTTTTGTGTGTGTGTACCAACAAATCAGATCTGACTGGTACAGGAGGAGATTGTCCCTCCTCCAACAGAGCATTGGAACTGCCCACCTCTGGGACTGCAGAGCAGCTTCTTGCCACTAGGTCACCAGAGCTCGCCTGTCTGTTTTCTCTTTAACAGAAGCAGAGTGCTCCATCTTTCTACCAAAGCACACTGGTAGGTTCCAACTGTCAACCTTATCCTTAGAAACCAAGTGCTTAACCACCAATTATCACTGCACTGCCTGAGTAATTCCTATAAAACTGGGGGGGGGGGGAGAACAAACAAAAAACTAGGGGGAACAGAAGGAGTGGGGACCGTGCTATATCCTAGAAAATTACATATAATTTACCTTAAAACCTATTTAATAGAAAACTACTCAGAACTTCTGTCAGATGGCATTGACATTCTTCCATCATTTCTCTGAGAAAGCTAAACCTATTATTTTCTATAACATGTACCATACATAGCATAGAATACAAAGTGCCAACTAACCTTGTCTTCATTTTGAAGCTTCACATCGTATTTGTGAGGCAGAAATTTTGGAGGAGCCCACCTTCTTTCTCCTTTTTTAAGTGAAGTAGGGAGTTTTCGTGGGGATCTGCGTGCTCTATCATCTAGTCAAAGTAATAGAAAAGATAATTGTATAGACTGTTTTCATTCATTAGCAATCATTTTATTGAATTATCTACTCTGTATCACATAGCACTAGAAAGGTAAGGTAAAAAGAGCATAATAACTAGAGTAATGTAGAAAATAATCCCACACAGGTTAGGACAGGAAAATACTGTGACGTTACAAAGAGCTAATTTGGTCTGAAAGGCAGGAAAGGCCTAGAAAAGCTATGACTTATTCATATTGTGCAAATATAAACATACTTTGAGTTACTGTGGGTTCAGTTCCAGATCACAATAATAAAGTGGATCACCTACATTGTTGTTATTGTTTATTCTCAGTATATATAATAGTTAGGTTTATGTAATATTGTAATCTTAATATGTGACAGAATTATGAAAAAGGCTGAAATAATGTGACAGTGATAAAAAATAATAGAATGTGAGCACATGTAAAATGGCATCAAAAGACTTGGTTGGCACAAGGTTGCTACAAAACTTTAACTTGTTAAAAAATATTATACATAAAGCACATTAAAACAAGATGTTTCTTGTTTTAAATGAATGTCACAATAAAATGTGTATAAATCGTTTAAAAGAAAACAAATTTACTTTGTAAACCTTCACTCAAATAACAATATCCATGAATAAAACAAGATATTAGAATTTCTATTCCTAAGAAAAAAAATGGACTTGAAATAAAACTAACTCGTCAGATGTACATTTTAGAATAAGGTTATCAGAAAATGTAATTCTAAACTTCAGAATTAAATGAAAATAAAATGGGACACAGAAGACGTATTTAAGATATAAACTTTGTGAACATCTAGATGTGGCAATATTTTTCCTTTCTTGTTGGGTACCGTCAAATCGGATCTGACTAGCTCAGGAGGTCACTGTCCCTCCTTCTCCAGCACAGCATCTGGTGGATTTGAATTGCACACGTTCGGGATTGCAATGTGACTTCTTGCCACTAGGCCACCAGAGCTCCCCACAGATGTGGCAATGTTAAAAGATTTGTCCATTTTCAGTCTTGGGGACTAAGTGATTGGGGACAGTGATTTGAACAGCCGAGTAAGAACAGAAAGAGTAACAGCGTTCTTGCTTATCTGCCTTGTATACTTTACCTGTGGTACATCCAGGTCTATTTTATCTATAAAATCTAGCCCAGACTTGGTCATTATCAATCCACAGTTAAGATTTTAAATTCTTGATATAAAAAAGATTTAAAAACAAGGGCCTTTAAATACAAAGATAATAAAAAAAACAAATTATGAGGGAAAAGTCTAAGCATGGAAATAAATAAGGTGAGTGAGGCAGATTAAAAAATAGACAAGTGGCTGATTATTAGGACACAGAAATCAAATAAGCAAAGTATAAACAACCTAAGTGAATAGCAGTATAATGCAAGAATAAAAGACAGACCCTCGATTTAGCAATTATGAGATCTGAATAGCTTTAAGAGTAAGAAAGAAGTTAGGCTGTGATGGTACAACTGATGCTTAGAAAGTAAAAGTAATTAATCAGGTCCACATTCTGTTACAAAGCCTCAGTGATGTAATGCATCACATGGTGGTCAATATCTGCTAGTCTACCCTCCACACATAAATACACTTTTACTTTGTAAAAGAGAAACGGGCTTTAAGGAGCTAGGAATGCTCACACAGATGTCTCAGCAACTGGAAAGAGCTATGATCTCCAACTTAAGTCGTTGCTCTGCTTCAGTGGCTCCATTACAGGTCAATTCTCAGCAAACATTGAATACTTCATTTTCTGTTTCCATTTTCATTACTGGTTTTTATTATCCGTTATCTTTATAAATCTTAACGGTAAAAATCTAATAGTAAAATCAGCAAATTACATGCCATAATATGTATATAGTATATATTAGTAGTAAGATGCATTCAGGGGGGAGGAGAAAGACAATCTTTTTGTTTGTTTGTTTAATGTGTGTACCGTCAAATCAGATCTGACTGGTACAGGAAGAGATTGTTCCTCTTTCAGCAGAGCATCTGGTGGATTCGAACCTCACATCTCTGGGATTGCAGTGCAGCTTCTTGCCACTAGGCCACCAGAGCTCGCCGGGAAAGACAATCTTAAGAGCAATTCACCCTAACCTAATATATCATTTACTGAAGTCTCTATAATGATTTTCCTATGGTCTTATTTAGGAAAGTTTAAGGTTTGGTTCATTTTGTGGAATTTTTGTTTTCTGAATTATAAATGAACAAAATCACGTCAAATTATAAACAAAGATAAGTTTAACAGTTTACTGTTTGTGGCTGGCAGAAAGAAAAGCTGCCTGGTCCTGGACCATCTACCAATACCATATTGGCAGTGGACAACAGTATGTGATCTGTAACATTAGTTAATTCTTGGGAGTCAACAAGCAGGTTTTTATTTTTTTTTTTTAAATAATTTTTTAAAATTTATTTATTTTGTGTATGGACCATTAACTGGATCTGACTGGTACAAGAGGCGATTGTTCCTCCTTCTTCAGCAGAGCATCTGGTGGATTTGAACCACGCACCTCTGGGACTGCAGTGCAGTTTCCTGCCACTAGGCCACCAGAGCTCGCCAAGTTTTTATTTTCTAGTCTGCTGTCTGGAACTCCACCATGATGTGGATTAATTGAACTTTGCTTCCCCAGTACATACTGTTAACTCTAATCCCTGTAACTCTGGTGGCAGAGTTTGTAGTGAGTTACGCTGCTAATGCAAAAGCTGTAGACCTCAGCAGTTGGAATTCACCAGCAGCTCTACAGAAAAAAGGGGGGGGGGGAGGCTCCTGTTGCAATCTACAGCCTGGGAAACCTGATGGAAAGGGTTGCTATGAGTCGAAATCAACCCAGCGGCAGTTAGGTAAGGGAAAGCTACTTACCATCTTAGTTGAAAATGGGTTTTATGTTAATAAGACAGTACTAATACCCCCACTGACCACCTTCCCATTCCTAAATCTTTATGGAAGAGAGTATTCACATTTCTCCTAGAGCAGCTTGAAGACTTGAACTACCAACCTTTCTGCTAGTAGCTCAACATATAATGCCAGCAGGGCTTTGTATCAGTATAGGGTGTGTCGACAGTCAGTCTCACGCCACATCACCAAGGAGCAGAAGAATAGAAACTGATTAGTAAAGGGACTAAGCTCTGAGACACCAGAGAATTGGTGCCTTGATCTCAAACTTGAAGCCTCCAAAACTGTAAGGAAGAAATGGTTGCTCATCGCCCTTTTCTGATCACAATGGGTACCCTACTTGTATTTGAGACATCACAGCTTCCAGTATCATACCAACAGGAAGATATCACAGTACAACAAAATGTTACAACTACAAATTTAGTTCTTGCCAAATTTACATAGACACATCAGTCTCCTAACGCACTATGAAAAGCTAACATCATACATACTTAGACTTTCTCTCCTTCCCTCATCTTCTTTTATAACCTCTTTCTTCTGATGGTCCTGAGCAATCTGACTGGAATTCTCTTTATCACTTGATGGAGAATCACAAGAACCATCAGATTTCTTATCAGTGGCTTCTTCATCCACTTTCTCCAAAGGATGAATCTTCACAATCTTCACCTTAAGCATTTTTTCCTTCCCAACCTTAAAAAAAACAGAAAAATCAGGGACAGTAAGAACTAAAGATAATGGTTATAGAAAAACCAGACTCTAGGTATATATAATCTCATTAATCCATCCATCTTGTTTGACAAATACTCACTAAAACTCTTAAGTAGCAAGCACTAGAATTTTTTCCCATCTTTTCTCAGACTTCTAGGTTGAAATCTGATTATCTCATAAAATAATCAGTGTGGCTCATAACTCATTTTATATATCAACATTTCAGTCCAAAAGACAACCTATGCACCAGCAGTGAACAGGAGATATGCATACATGCATTATAAATACATATGTATATATGCATACCTACTGTTCCAGCACCATTTGTTGAAAAACTACCTTCAGCCTCACATCTCTAACAAAAATCAGTACTACACAGATACACGTGGGTGTGAGCGAATCCATTTATGGACTCTACTGTCTCACCGTTCTCTCTCTGTGCCTATTTTCAATTACTTTGTCTTTCTGGAACTTTGAAATAAGCCCTGAATCAGGTATCATGAGATCTCTAACGCAATACTTTTCAGAGTTGTTCTGGATATTTCCGGTTCTATGAACTTCTAAAGGGATTTTATAATCAGCTTGACAAAACCAGTTTCCAACAAGTAGACTCCAACTCTAGGGTAAGGTAATCTCATCCCTACATGCAGGAAAGTGGACATGTGCTCCACAGGGCAGACCACTAGGCCTTCCTCTAAGGTGATTCTGGGGGAGTTCAACTCTTCAATCTCTGGTTACCAGCCAGGTATATTAACTATAGCTACCTCCCAGGACTCCAATCAGCCTGACAATTCCCATTCCAAAGTTCCTGGGGTTTATGTATTATGTTCTATCTACAATTACTTTGGGAAGAAGGGGTATCCAAACAATACTAAATCTTCTGATCTTTGAATAAAGTGTCTATCTCTGTTTATTAAGATCTTTAAGGAACCCTAAGTGAAGTGAGGATTAAACAATTGGCTCTATCGTGTAAGGTACAAGATCAACGTACAAAAATCTGTCAGATTCCTCTATCACAGTATAGTGAACTCTGAAGAGAAACAGAATAATGTCAGTTAAATAGTCATCTAAAAGGTAACAAATCTTGTTCTGGTAAGAATAAAGCAAACCAGATACAATAGACTTATAAAATGAAAACAAAGAAAAACCCCACACACTATGAGAAACGCAAAGAGACCTATGTAAATGGAAAAACCTTAGCTCGTGAATCAAAGACTTAGCATTGTGAAAATGGCAATAATACCAAAAGCAACGTAAAAAATACAAGGAAATCCCAATCCAGATCCTGCCAACATTTTCCAGAGATAAAAAAAGTAATCATCAAATTCATGAGGAAAAGAAAGAGAACTCAAATAAGAAAAGTGATGCAGAATTTAAAAAAAGGAGGCCTCATATTTCTTGATCTCAAAACTTACTACACAGTCACAGCAATCAATACAACTCACCAGTCATACAGACAGGTACTTAGCTAGAGACAACTGATCTTTGAAAAAAATTCAAAATCCATTACATGGGGGAAACACAAGCTCTTTAAGAAATAGTTCTGGCAAAACTGACAATGTATTTGGGAAAAACTGAAAAAAGACCTCACACTAAACATAAAAACTCACTGAAGATGGATCAAGAACCTACATGTAAAATCTAAAATTATAAAGATCATCAAAGAAAAACTTAGGATAAACTCAGGAGCCCTGATCCATGACATAAATACTCTATCAAAGATAACTAAAAATGCATATAGAGGATAAAGAGATAACTAGTACCTGCTAAAGATTAAATCTTTACGAGCATCTGAAGGCTTTTCCAAAAGAGTAAAAAGAGAACTTACAGACTGGGAAACACTACTTAGCAATGATGTATCTAAGAAAGGACCCTCATTAACAACCCAACAAGAAAAAGACAACTGAATGTCAACCTGCACACAGAGCATGAATAGACACTTCAACAAAGACAACACATGAAGAAAAATACTAAAGATCATTAGCTATGAGAAACAGATCAAAACAGTAAATTTCTTTTTCTTCAGCAATAACAGTAAAGTTCAGCAAGTCAGCATACAAAGCTGGTGAAGGTACGGAGAAATTGGAATAACAGTTAACAGGACTGTTAAATGACCCTACAACCACTGTGGAAAGTAGTTTGTCACTGCCTTCACAAGAATAAAAATATCATTTAATTCAGCAATCGTGCTACTATGTATACATCCCAAAGAAATCATAACTGAGACACAAACTAACATACTATAGCTCATATTTATTATGGTATTATTTACAACAGCAAAGAACTAGGAAAAATGCAACTCTTTGTTACCCAAGTATGTAACAAGATTGGTCAAACTATACATTCTCAAAATGCAGTGTCATGTACTGTTATGTGCCACTGAGTCACCTGCAACTCATAGTGATCCTATATACAACAGCTCTGAAGCCTGCCATGTCCTAAGCCAATCTCACTGACTCCAACACACCATTGTCCCAGTTACATTATCAATCCATCTCATCTGGGGTCTCTGTCTTCTCCACTATCCCTCCACCATTCCAAGCATGATGTTCTTCTCCAATGATCAATCCTTCCTGGCTATATGCCCAAAGTATGTGAGATGGAGCGTCAAAATCCTAACCTCCAAGGAGAAACTTGGTTTCACTCTAAGATAGACCTGTTTATTTTCTTGCTGGTTCATGCTATGTTCAATACTCTTCTTCAGCACCACAGTTCTTCTGTCATCCTCAGTCATAGTCCAACTCTATATGCATAGCAAGTAACTGTGAAGACCATGGCACACCTTAGTCTCTGGATTGACATCCTCACTTCTCAGTATTCTGCAAAAGTCCAAGAAAACAGATATTCCTAGTGCAATTCATCTTTTGATTTCCTGACTACTTGTGCCCAGAGTGTTGATTGTGGAGCAGAGCAAGCTGTAATTGTTAACAACCTCAACCCCTTCTCCATCTATCATGGAGCTGCCAATTGGTCCAGTGGTGAGAATCTTTGTCTTCTTGATGCTGGGCTTCAACCCATATTGAAGACTATAATTCTTGACCTTCTGCAGCAAGCATTTCAAGTCTTCCTCAGTTTCAGCAAGCAAGATTGTATCATTTGTATAACATAGGTTGTTAATGAGTCTTTCTCTAATCCTGATGCTACATTCCTCCTCAAAAAGCCCAGACTCAAGCTCTGGTGGCCTAGTGGCAAGAAGCTGCACTGCAATCTCAGAAGTACATGGTTCAAATCCACCAGATGCTCTGCTGGAGAAGGGCAATTTCTTCCTGCACCAGTCAGATCTGATCTGACGGCACACACACAAAATAATAAATTTTTTAAAAAACACCCCAAAAAATCTCCACCAGCCTCCCAAAATGATCTGTTCTGCCTATAGACTCAAACAGTAGGGAGATAAGATGCATCCCTGACACAGTCCTTTCCTGATTTTTTCCATGCAGTGTTTCCTTGTTCTACTGTGAAGACTGCTTCTTGGTCCGAGTATAGATTTCACAGAAGCACAATCAAGTGTTCTGGAATTCTCATTCTCCTTAAGATTAGCCATATTTGTTGTGATCCACACAGTCAAATGCCTTTGCATAATCAATGAAACACAGAAATTCCTCTGGAACTCTTTGCTTTCTGCCAATATCCATCTGACATTGACAATAACTTCTATAGTGTCATGACCTCTTCTAAACTCAGCTTGTATTCCTGGTAGTTCTCTGTCAATGTACTGTTGGTCGTTTTTGGATAATCTTCAGCAGGACTTTGTTTGAGTGTGATATTACTGATACTGTTTGATGATTTCCACACTGTATCTATATTATCTATATATGTTGTTATTGTCACTGATTGCCTTCGAGTAGAGCATG